ATGCCGTCGTCTGCGAAAACCGTTAGCCGCAGCACGGCCATTTTGGAATCATTTGAAAGCTAAATTCTTCAGCAATCCGGTTTTAGCGAGAAAACAACTCTAAGTCTGGCGACTATGGAGCTACACGCCACCGAAAAGGAGGGAACACTTGCACGGCATTGGCGCGTTTATACCACGTGGGGCAAATCCTGCTCTACGATTGGACGACCAAAAATTTCGTCTGCCCGACTGTGTGCAACAATGCGCGACTCCTTGTCACAAATTGTTCGGACGCGACGATGGCTGGCGGGCGACGCAAATTCGCGACAGCTCATGCCTACGGCAAAAAACGCAAGCGTCGGTCTCGGATACCTGAAGCAGCGTCGGGTGAATCGACGGCGACGAGCTCCGCGACATGCGCCAGCGAGTGTACGATATCTACCGAAGCTGCAGCCGCGCAAGCGATGCCTGTGGCCGACGACACGAGGACAACGCGTGTCGATACGCATTTTGTGACAGAAGCGGAAAAAGTGGCAATTGAGCATCGCACGGAAGAGCAACGACAGAAGCTGTCTTCGTTATCAGCTACCCGCCGAAAGCGGTCGCTTATCGGAGATTATCCGGCACCGAGTTTACGCTGCTAAGCCTACCGCTGCTGAACCAACTGCTTCGGTGCGCGAAATGCGAATTCTGCTCTGGCCCATTGAACGTTTCACGGGGCGACCGTGAGTACGGATTGGCAGTTAGAATAGTGGTGAACTGTGCCGTCTGCGGAGATGTCAGCGCCGGATGGAGCTCGCCGAGAGCAGGGGGGAATGCGACCTGCAACCCTTTCGAAGTGAATGTGCTTGCGGCTCGTGCAGTTATGAGCACGGGCAATGGGCAGACCGTGCTAAACGACATTTTTTCGGCCCTGAATGTGTCTCGTCGTGGAATGCACAACAAAACGTACCAAGACTACGTCAAAACCAAGATGAACCCTGCCGCGATGAACGCATCCGCGGTTATTATGAGCGAGTGCGCAACAGCTGTGAAGGCCATCTATTCTGAACTGAATTTCGGGAACCCCGGCAATATCGCAGTTTCCTATGACGGGACTTGGCTCACTCGTGGCCACTTGTCACACATTTGTGTGGGAACTGTAATAGAACTGTTTTCGGGCTATGTGTTGGACTTTAAAGTTCTCTCGAACTTCTGTTTGGGTTGCGAGATTGGCCCCAAGGACGACGACCCTCGATGCAGTGAGTGGCGAGCTCGGCACAAGTGCCAAAAAAACTCTTCGAGCAAGCCTGGCCAGATGGAGGTGGAGGCTGCCAAAATTCTGTTTCGCCGGTCCCTCGAAAAGCATGGATTCCGCTACACAACGATAGCCGCACTTTCAACAGCCTTCAGGAGGAGCAAGTTTATGGCTTCGTGGCTATCGAAAAGGAGGATTGCGTAAATCATATACATAAAAGGATGGGTGCTGCACTGAGACACCTCCTGCAGAAGAGCAAGGGGGAAGGTCGGCCAAGCCTAAGTGGCAAAGGAAAGCTCACTGCTGAGCTTGTAACGAAGCTTACAAATTATTATGGTTGGGCACTCAAGGCACACCAGGGAAACATCGATGAGATGGAGAATGCTGTCCTTGCCACTTACTATCATGTGACTTCTACTGATGCAAAGCCACAACATTCACGGTGCCCAAAGGGAGAAGACTCATGGTGTGCCCACAACAAGGCAGTGGCAAGGCAGCAGGCTCCTCCTAAGCATCGGTACAACCTCCCGGAATATGTTGCAGAAGCGCTCCTTCCAGTGTACACTCGCCTCTCAGATCGAAAGCTGTTGGAGCGCTGCCAAAGAGGCAAAACTCAAAACTCGAATGAGAGCCTCCATTCAGTGATCTGGTCGCTTGTACCGAAAACCAAGCACGCCTCGCTCTTCACAGTCGAAACTGCTGTTGCGGAAGCGGTTGCTCGGTTCAATGCTGGAAAGAAACGTGCTTCTGAGGCCATTTTGAAGGAGCTGCATTTGAACCAAGGCAACACAGATGTTGAAAGATGTCTGGAAAAGGACCAGCAGCGGCTAGCGGCATGTGACAAAAAGCATACCAGAGCAGAAGACTTCAAGAATGCCATGAAGAAGAGGCGTGTGAAAGAGAGTGATGGTGATTATGAGCCTGGTGGCTTCTAGAGCAAAAAGGGCTCCCATCTGTTGCTTTTTTGGCAAGAATTAAACCTATATATAGTCTTCAAACTTCTTTTTGTGTTTTCTCAAAATCAGTTTTTTGCCTATGTGCTATACTGTTGCCCACAGTATCTTTTGATCTAGTGATCAGATTTCAACGATTCTTGTTGCAATTGACAGCTTACGAGTTCCTATACACAATAAGACTACTAAAATTTATATTTAGTCAAGAGAAAATTTTTTATGCGCTGATAAATCTCATGAAAATTCCCATGTTCCCAACCATTATATTACATATGGCAATAACTTTTATAAAAATAGAGCTAAAATTACAGTGATAGTATAGTTGTGATCCTTGATTATTCTAGACTATGTCCATATAAAGTGTTCAAGGATATTTAATTATTAAATTGCAGAATAATTGGGCAATCCAACTATTCATTATTTATTCAATATCTCTAAAACTACTTGAGATAAAAGAAAACGGATTGCATATATCTTCACAGCAGGTTAAAAGATACGTTGCCTGAAAATTTCATTTGAATACGATAATAAACAGAAAATTTTTTTAGAACACCAGGGTCTCCCCTTAAGTGTTTTAGACAGTGCTGATGTCGAGACTTTTTGATTGGAACTTGTGGAAACCGCAGAGGAAAAAGTCGTGCGAGGTAGCCTTCGTGTGGTGCATACCGAGGTAATGCCGGTCACTTTTTTTTTTTCATGCATGTTTTGACACTTTTTTGTATTTTACTTCTGCTGTGCACTAATGTACAGTGGAGTCCCTGAATATGATGGGACATTTCTTGGAAATCAATCGACCAATATTTAAAGAGAACCTGACTCCTCAACTCAAACAGATCGGAATGTTAACCTACTGGGGAGTTATTTGTACTTTACTTCAAACCTGAAGTGAAAGAAGATTGTTTCACATCCGTTTTCACAGTTTGTTTCAATGCAGTTCCCGAATTCCCGCAATCGTCATAACGATTTCAACAACCTACTTGATACGCTGATTGTGTACGCAGGTGTCGCTGACAAGTTTGTATGAAGAATAATGACGCTATGCTATCTCTGTTTGCAGGTACGTGCTTAAAAATGACATCTGAAGACGCAAATATCATCGAGGTTCTTCAAGTCATTTTTGTAATCTGCACCAGCCAAACACACTGGTACTTTTCAGCAAATTCATGTGTTCTAAACTTTAGGTAATAACTTTCGGCCAAGAGAACAAACACCCCAACGCTTTGCTTTCTCTTTATTGTTGATTGATATGTGGGGTTTAACGTCCCAAAACCACCATGATTATAAGAGACGTCGTAGCGGAGGGCTCCGGAAATTTCAACCACCTGTGGTTCTTTAAAGGGCCACTCACCAGATTTCACAATTTTGAGCTGACAAGCGCAATGCGTAGACGAGGCGTTCATGATCACGTCTGCCAAAATTTGCAATGCTACGCACCGCAGAAATGAGTCAAATGTCAAGATGAACGCTGCTCCCCCTCCCCATCTGCCGGCGCACGCCAAGAGAATAAGGGCATGACGTGGGCGTAGGAATGGCCCTGTACACGACAATGCAATGACGTTGGTCCTCTACGTAGACGACTCTGCTCTGACGTTGTCAACAGTATACCACGCGACATGGCAAAAATTATTTAACACAACATGCATAGTTTATGTATTTGTTGCTTTAAGAGATTAATAAAACTTGAAATAAATAATGAGACGCAATAAAAAATTGTGCGCGTTTTTCTTTCATTTCCCCCTGTGAAATGTTACGAGATGCGGGGCTAATGTGCCAGCGTTTCGCATGCGTTCGTGTCCCCGCGGTCAACGCATTGAGCAGATGACCGCCGTGGAACGCTCCTACGCGTTCGTGCACTCATTGTGCTCATCTATTCTACCGCGTCTAAGCCAGCGTTTCCAAACCATTCCGCAGAAACAGGCAGAAGACCACAAAATAACACTGGTCAACAAAGCAACTCTGCTCACGTGCTCGGGCGTTGGACTTGTTTGGGCACGTCACATCGTGGTCAGATGCTGGAGAGGGTGGGGAAGAGATTTGGCTTACGAAGGCTACGCGGAGGAGCGGCAAGGGTTTCGAGCTCGCCTCCTCTCATCCTCGTTTCGCGCCGCTTCAAAAAACCTGTTTTCTCTGCTCGTGATGAACTGATTAAAAAAATTCTTGTGGCAAAATGTTCCTCATCGGACACCCAACAACTTCCACTGTCTAACTAAAATTTGGTATGGAGCCTGGTGAGTGGCCCTTTAACGTGCACCCAAATCTGAGCACACGGGCCTACAACATTTTCGCCTCCATCGGAAATGCAGCCGAGTACCTTAGCCATTAGACCACCGCGGCGGGGCGTCCCTCTTCATGGACTACTAAATCAACTTGCCTCAAAAGCAGCTGATAGTTGCTCAAAGTTGCATCGTGAGGCAAAACTGAATGAGTGCAAACACACACAGCACAAACAACACGGCAGTGGTCGGCGACGGAGTCTGAAGATATCCGGGCATGTTGTTGGTGCATTCCAGAAGTGACGAAGGGGCGCTGCATGACGCACGTGCAGACTATATATTGCCGGTAACAGACACTCCCAAATCCAGCTTTGGGGCAATTTCTATTGATATTATCAGGATTGCGCTGTAAATCTGACTTGGCACAGTTGTTCAGGTATTGCAGTTTTCCTGGTCCTATGAAATCTAAATTAAAAAGCTTTTACTGTATGGATTTTCTTTGTGCTCGATTGATGCCTGTGCATATCGTGGTGACATTTTTATCTGGCTGCACCGCAGTTTCTCAATACACTTCCTCTAGCAAAACCACTGATACGGGTAAAAGATGGCTGTTCTTACGGTTGATACGTCCATGGGCACGGTAGGTGCGCCTGCGCATTTTGGGAGCCCTGTTGACCTGGATGTGGTCGATCACGAGACGGTCAACGTCGAGTCCCTTGTAGTCAGCATTGCTCTCAGCGTTACGAAGCAGCTGCCACAGAAACTCAGCGCTCTTCTTTGGCCAGCGGCCCTGAGTGCAGCCAAAAGCCTTAGCCTGCAATTGTCAAACATAAGTTACGTTAGAGACGCACAGCACACTACCTCAGTTACCTGAGCAATTCGAGAACTTTGAAGCGCGCTTATGATGACTCTAAAAAAAGCTGATGATGTGTTCGCAAGTGATTACAAGCATGGCGGAATGAGCAGCCATTACGAATCGCTTGTACCGCCACGTGTTAAGCAAACAGAGTGTGAAATAGTCTGGTGCTTTCACAGTGATCCATACACACGATTTATGTTTGAAATGTTGCTCATCATATGGTAAATAAAACGTGCATTAGATGCTCGCAAGAGCTACTGATGCGATATGAAATAAAAAAAATGGCATGAAGGAAAGACTGAAGCTTGTCATGAAAGAATACATAAACAGAGGTTGTGGCTCGAGCACACAACTAGCGTTTGCTAATTTTTTCAAGATGTGACATGAAGCAACATCCGAACCCAATACCGTCAACAAAAGTAGCATACGGCGAAATAAAATACACATTCATGGCATGTGTGCATTTATCACAAAATAGCAGTGTCACAAAAAAAAAAAAAAAAAATGTCATTCAAAGTGCGAAATGATCAGTAACGATGAAAAAAAAAAGGACAGCTGAAGCCAGACATTGAACGTCCATGTTGCCAAAAATTTTAACCATCTCTAAGTAAATGAAACTACTGCACATGACATCGGATATCATGAGCAGCTCTGTAGGCTTCAAAGAGGTACTAACACCAATTTTCGGTAGAGAGTGTACCCGCCATACAAATCTTGCGAATGTAGAGATGGCCCTCCGTAGGTCTGAAGCTCAGCAAATGCTGATAAGACATTTCATTTTGATATTAGTCATTTTTTCCGTGGCCCACCTTGCCACATCGGCACTAGCTTGACTTCAGGCATGTAGTGGTGGCGTTAAAAGCCCAAAATTCCGAAATGGCCACTTCCGTCTACCCTACGGAGCAGAGATGCTTCATTAACACAAGATCTTGAGCAAGCACATGATGAGAAGCTCATACTGTGTTGCGACACCAGGGTGCAGTAGTAACCTAAACTAGTTTTTTAGAAAATTACTTTCTTACGTTGCACTCACAATTAGCAGTACATTCTCTAGGCTCTTGACGACTTGGCCTTTCATTCGATGCAGAAAAACAACAAATTAAAACTTTCTTGTCTGGACCTTTTTAAGCAAGCCACACTGAATAAAGGACAGGTACACAGGAGCTCACAGCATGCAGACGACTGGTACAGTGCACTGTCAGTGCCTGCTCGAACACTAAACATTCGCAGTGGAGTAGGACACGAAAACTCCACTAAAGCAAGTACCCAAGTTTAACTTGTGGAACTGTTACAATTCGGCCTGTGCCACATTGAAATGCGAGATTAAGTCTCACGTATCACCATTTTTTTTTTTTTTTGCGAAACTAGCTTCACTGCCACGCAAAAAGCTACGTGTATATGGGAGGCGGTCCCGTACCTGGGTTGGCGAAGCGCACATGATGATGATGATGAACCTTCAGCTTTGCTGGCACTCGCCCACAAAGGGGGATCGGCTAAGAACCGGGCGGCAGGATCATCAAGTGTGCTAAGTCAGGCATTCAGGTAGTCTCGTAGCCGTAAGTAATAACAATAGGCTAACAGGGTAATCTCCTTGTTGCCCTTATGTACTCGCACACAGCAGAGAAAACCTCCCTGTGGCTATAACCTAATGTAATCCCTCCGAAGGATAAAATTAGTTCCACGTTTATTTTTAAACCTAGCTTCTCAATTGGTTCGACCAGGTATCTTTTCCTTTGATAAGCATAACGTGCTCTAGAGGGTAAAGCCACCTTCCACATGACACGTTCAACAACGAAACACTGCTATGCGTGCCTCAGTTTTCGCGAGTGCATTCGCTGGGATGCAATCTCCTGTTAAAAGAAGTACGAAAGCGGGCCAACGGGTGGCCATTTACCTGGGCTTTGCGACCAACGCCACCGTTGAACCTACGGAAAGGCACGATCTCTTTCTTCGCAATGACGTTCTTCAGGTAGCGCTGGGCCCTGCGCAGCGGCATGTGCTTGATGGCCTGTGCAGTCTCCCGTGTGTTCTGCAAGACACACAATCCATTCGTCAGTTCATACGTTTCGAGCTGGACGGATGGATACAACTCTATTTCCGTTTCGAGGTGAAAAGGCATGCAAGTGACTGTTGTCATGAACTATCGATGCAGCACAATGATACTACTGCCCAGAAAAGCAACGAACCTTGAAGTGCACCCGGAGGTTGGAGCCCCGTGCCTTGCACGCTGCAACGAAAACATACGATGACAATCGTACAACGCGCAAAACCCGACTGTGAAGATTAAATTAGGCGCATGCAGAGGGTAAAAAGTGGGCGACAGCCACTGCCTGGCTTTACACATACACTTGGTTGCATTATCCGGATCGACCGAGTACCTCCCCATCACGACCTGCAAGCGAAAGCGAAGAAATATAGATGTTCGATAAATCTGACTACGAAGTTATTCATCTCTAAGAAGGTTCAATCTTAACGGATGGCCGAAAGCACCAGACATGCCCGGCGTATAGCAACCAATATATAATGTGCAGAACATGCGGCGCCGATGCGTCGTAATGAATAAATACGAACAGCAGACAAAATGCAAGCGATTAAACATATAGACGTAAGCCAAAAAACTGAAATGTAATGATTATTTACCTTAGATGAGCCGCGATTGTAAAATTCCCAAGCCAAAGCATAGCCTCCTATATTTTTTTGTGCCCGCGCATTAGCGCTAAATACATACGCGCCATCCGTCCCTTATAGTTTTGGCGCTCGCCGCCAGACGCCGCACCGATCCCATAATAACAGCAGACGACGCGGCCTATGCACGCTTGCGTTTATGACGGTCTAGAAACCGTCTACATTGCATTGGTTTATGCGTATACGTTAAGAAGTGCGCACACACCAAATTTTTAACACAAGCACTGTATGCAGAATGCAATGTGAGCTTTGTTATTTGATTTCGCGCTCAAAGCTTGAGCACTTTTCGAGACAATGGTTTGACATGAAAATCTTTTGCCAAGTCGTGTTTGTCAGTCACACTCGTCGCGAAGTTCAGAAAAAGTGGGCGGAGAAACTTCACGAGCACAACCTCCAAAAGTTTTTTATGATGTCCCGGGGTCGAGCACTTGAGTTTGTCACGTTTCTGTAGTATTTGCGCGGCGTTGTCAACGGCAGCCTTCAGTGGCTGATTCATCTTTCTCGCTCTTGCGAGGAAAACTTCCGCGTAATTCTTTAGAGAATTTAGAACCATTACGAGCTCAGTTGACGGATACAGGAGTACACCTGGGTGGATATCTCCACATTCAATCAGAACATGCTCCGCCGTTTCCTTATCTTTCCCGCAGCATGTGCATTGTTCTTCTTCTTTACTGAATCTTGCTTTATAACTACGCGTTCTAAGGCAACCCGATCTCGCTTCAAACAGTAAAGCGCTTCCCCTTGAATTATCGTAAAATGCCTCCCTCCTTATTTCATTTTTGCCCTTTCGGTAGTTACTCAAAGCCGGTTTTTTCTCCATAGCTGCCATCCATTCTCTCGTTTTGCGCCTCGGCGCTCCGCCAGGAGCGCTCGCATCCCATAATAGCTCGGGGGACGGCGCTGAGGGACCGACCGCTCGGGCACAAAGCCTCTCGGCTTCCACAAGAAAAGGACGGAAGCAAAACTTGCAAATTTGACGTCACATCCGACTAAGGTGGCCAGCATTGTTCTTCATGTACGCCAAAAGCAATCACCCAAAAATACAAAGTATACATGTCAGTCTTTACGTTAACCTGGCTTTTCAAATTCAATAAAGTATAAAAATATAGCCTTCCAAACTTTTAGTGTTTATAGCTGGTACTCAGCAGTACTCGGGCATAACGTTTCTGCGAGGTTGTTCCACAACACTCAGAAAGTTTCTCAACACTCAAAACATTTGTTTCACAACCATACACCTATAAACTATTGTTACTAAATATGTTGCTTTTTGTACTATATAAATATTTTTCAAGTGATCAGTGCATTTTAGTGAGTTGCGAAAAATTACATTTCAAGGGAACGTAATTAGCGCACACACAAAGCAAAGCGGTAAGATCACACAAATCGGCGGTTACGTCATTTACATAATCGTGGTTACAATGACATGGTTTAACATGGTTTTCCAAGACGGGCAAGTTACAGAACTTACAGGACATCGGTGTCACGCTGCGTGTCACACCGAAGTTGCCGAAGTAACCGAAGCCTATCCGCATCATAGAGTTAATCCGCATATCCTGTCATGAGCCGCCAGCTGGCCATCGCACCGAAGAAATAGGTTGGGCCATATGCCGAAAGGCCGAAACAGCGGGCCGAAATGAGCTACGCGTTTGAAGTGGCACATAGGTTCCTTGCGCTAGCATGTTAGCTTCCGTTACCATGGCACCGTTACACTTACGTGCGTATTCAACGTCGCGGGAAGTTTTCTTCGCCTGCGCTTGCGGTACCGCTGTGACAAGTGAGAACAGGGAGTGATGATGGTTGTCGTCCATCGGCCTGTTATCTCTTTACCATGGTGTCCCTTCCCAAGCGGTGGTCGCTGTCCAAGCAAAAAAGCCGCCACCGCGGTCCTCGCTATCACCGAGGCCTCCTGAGGTCTAACTCGGAGGGAGACGAACAGCAGGCTTTTATTTTCGCCGACGGGGAAGACGTAGCCTCCGACGAGGTCGGCTCTTGGGACGACGCGACGGAGCTCCGACTTCGTGGAGGCCAGAACGGTTCCAGGGACAACGGTGACAGAAACAGACTCGGGGCTCGAAAGCCGCCGTCTCCGGCGGTGTTCGAGCATCGCATTGTTGAGGGTGAGACGTTGCAAGGCCTCGCACTCCGCTACGGATGCACGGTGAGCACAACTTTTGCTTCAGCATTCGCGTATAAATTGCATCGATATTTTAAGGCTTGGAGGTAAGAGTCGGCTGCTCGTAAATCTTCAACTTGCAAGTTTCTCAAGTCATTCACGATGCTTTCAAAAGTAATTCTGGTTCCTTAATTGCTCACTTGTCAAATGTTTCGCATATGGAACTGTTCAAACCAGCTGGAAAGCTCTGCATGAACGGGATTGTGTCGGTCACCGCATTGCAACAGTTTAAGGATATTGCGCTGTCGTTGCACGTCTGCAGAACGTGACGTTTTCTTCGCCACAAGTGCCCGCCCAGATTTATGCGAGACCCGATTTTTACCTGATTTTCACCTGATTTTCTCCTCTCAGTAATAATATTGAGGAGCCAGATGTATACAATTCGAAAGCGGAATTTCGTGAATTGGATAACTTGGGCCTCGCACCGTAATAACAAGGTACTGACAGAATAATGTGTCTGTGGGATTCGGCAAACAGCTGCTGCACAGTGATAGCAAGATTGTTTATTCGATCGGGAGTTTTAAGATTCAACCCAAAAGATAGCGTACGCTAGCCGTCGAAAACATGTACTGGTAGTTTGCAGCGGAATGCAACCAGTGTGTGTGTTGTATTCACTTGTACCCTTTTTGCTTTGCTGACACACTAAATTGGAGTTTCTCTATTCTATGTCTTAAAAAAAGATGTTGTGGCACGATCTCTTAACTAGAACGTGTAGCTGAAGAAGGCCTTTCTTGAATGAAATTCACAGGTTGGTGCCTTACGGCACTTCAACAATCTTCTAAGTGACCAGGACTTTTTTGCCCTCACTGTGATCAAAGTTCCTGATCGCATCCACGTCGCGACTGGACAGCTTGTAGACACAAACGTGCCTGCTGATGACACCATCTCGGTGACCAGCGACGGTGCAGAGTCGCCACCGGACAAGGCTATCCGCTATTGGAAGAGCCTCGACCACAAAGTGCAGGCGGCTCTGCAGCAGCGAGGTTCAGGAGACGATGGCATCCAAATCGATGAAGTGGAAGATCACTCCATTGATCGTCACGTCTCGCATTCACAGCAGCCCAATTCATCGAGTGGTGCAGACTGTGGCATAGGATGGTGTGGGATAGTCGTGATAGTTATCATTGTTGCTGTGCTCGTGCCCTCTTTTTACGTGCTGTACATTCTTGTCTACCAAAAGGAAATTCACGACGGAGCTGTGCAGCTGCGAAAGTGATTGAACTGTGTTGCGGGAGTGCTGCCTAGCCAGGGGATGCATTTGTGATGGTATTTCTTTGCTCAAGTTGGGGTGACTTGTTATGAAGAGCTTTGCGATGTTGTGGCTGGTAGTGGTATTCACCGTTTTTAATTTTATGTGCCCATTTTGTTTGCACAGCAAGCTTCGTAACTGGCTGTATTACTTACCGATTGGTATGAATGATTGATACACACACACGAGTTTCTAAAGGTTTCGTTATTTTTTGTGCACATTCTTTTTTAAGGCTTTTTAATTAAGTAAAAAGGTACAGTGCATACAAGCTACAGGTGGTGTCTGGATTGCAGAAAGCCACTTTTTTTGCGAGGCCTTGATGTTGTTTCACACAAGTGATCAATGTGCCTTTTCCTATGATGACCTGAGAGGTGAAGAGACATACCACAGGGTGTGCATTTTTAGCGAAGATTTTTGTACTTCTGAAGGTTGCTTAGTGAAGCCATTTTAAGATATGTAGCATTTAGGCCTTTATAACAGAAAACTGCTGTAGTACATGTTATGTATGCCAGAGTTTTTGAAATGTCGTTGTTGCTTAGTCTGTACAGAGAAAGTGCTTAAATACGTTAGAACAGATATGGCTATTATAAGTGGTAATAAATAAAAAGGCAGAACATGTTTCCCTGTCGTCTACTGAAATCCTTTGTTCTGTGTATGCTATTTTGTAAGCTGCTAGTAATGGTAGAACTTGGTTCTCGCCATGGAGACAGCTCCCATGGCACACCAGTTCTAACTTCAAAAAGTTGAACTTGGTGACTTAGCTAAACTTCTTACTTCTTCCTATAAGCAAACGTTCTTGCTTTGGTGGATGCGCATTTAAGCTTATCAGTCTGCCACGTATCATCATCACCATCAGCCTGACTACGTCCACTGCAGGACGAAGGCCTCTTCCATGTTCCGCCAGTCAACTCGGTCCTGTGCTTGCTGTTGCCACGTATATAGGGTACTTTCCAAGCATCATTTGTCAGTGTAAGCACCTTAAAAGACTTATTACAAGGGGTGTTCTATGAAATAGTACGAAACGACACTGGGGGTGCAAATGAATACTTTGTTCAAAGTATACGCTATAGGCTTGTACACAACAATCCCATTGAGGGAACAGCTAGAGGATTTTATCGTCTTAGTTCCTGTGGTTGTCATAAGATCCAGACCATCACAGAGTCCTTTAGTTCGTTGTCGAAGTTAAAGCGCTTCCATTTCTGATGCTTTTTCTTTCAATTTTTTTGTGGGTACAGTATTTTTTTTTTTTTTCATCGCCGCCAACATTTGCAATGTGACATGCTGATCACTTCTCGCTAACTAGCTCGTTCACCTTATTGATGGGATCGGTGTCGATTGTTTTCCTGGCCGTCGGTCGTCAATCAAACTGTTACGATCTGCACAGAAATGGGCACTTCATTTTCACATACACAAGAAAATCACTGCCATATCCACAGAGCTTGCTCGGAGGTTTAAGGGGCATTTCTTGGCGTGACCATTTTAGTAGGAAGGTTTGTTAACTAGTCGGCGTATGATGTGTACGTTTAAGGTAGCGCTGTCGGGCACGTTCCGCAGCTGGCACTGCACAGTGTTGGCCATGACCATCGGCGTGTTAACCACCTGCCCCTCTATGCTATACTGGCCGGTGCCGCGAGTCAAATGCCTAACGGCAGACGCGGATTGATTGATTGATATGTGGGGTTTAACGTCCCAAAACCACTATATGATTATGAGAGACGCCGTAGTGGAGGGCTCCGGAAATTTAGACCACCTGGGGTTCTTTAACGTGCACCCAAATCTGAGCACACGGGCCTACAACATTTCCGCCTCCATCGGAAATGCAGCCGCCGCAGCCGGGATTCGAACCCGCACCCTGCGGGTCAGCAGCCGAGTACCTTAGCCACTAGACCACCGCGGCGGGGCAACGGCAGACGCGGAGCTATCTGGCATTCTTCAATGGATTTGAGAGCTGGCAGGCGAAGGGGCTTGGGAGGATCTCGGTACCTGTGCGTAACACTCATCGGAGGAACTTGTCACGTGCTGCCGTGCCTACGAAGCGACGAGAATGAAGTGAACGTAGTTTCAAGAAGGCGAGAGTGCAGGACATAAAAGACTGACGCCTTGGGTGGCGGCATGCCACCTAGTGAGCATTCTTCGAATCCCTGGAGAGGTGACCAAAGCGGCGACCGGAGAAGTGTACACTGGCAACACTGGTGTACACGCCAATGGTTGCCGGACAAGGCGCGAGCATAAGAAGTTTGCCGTGCAAGCTCCTAAAACTTGTAGGACACATTGTCTTCCCCGTATGTGGTTACTATCTAGCGATGAATGGTGGCCGGTTTTGTACCTTCTGCTGCCAGAAATCAGATAACTCCTTGCTGCTCTTCAATTGATGAATCTCGCAGTGGACGCCATTCTGTCCTTATATGCACTGACTCGTCGAATCGACGGCACTTTTCATAAAAGCCGCTGCCCTCTCCTGCTCATGCAGGCGCTCTCGCATGCTGCAGTCCACTAAAGGGTACCCTATCTCATCCCTAGATGTCTCGCTACGTTATGACTTTTCGCATAGCAGCATAGGCATCTATATTAATGGTTACATTGTTACGACATTTAGTACCTTTTCATTTGGACACACCTTGTATTTGCAGGAATAATGCTTTGTATATGTATGGAAAGTGTACAATGTTTCTCTTGCTGCTTACATGAGCGGACTTACAAGTGATATAGCATGGTGTCGCTAGGAACGTTTTTTTTTAGGAGGGTGCACAACGTTAGCAATCTGGTGGGTGCATGGCAGGCAAGCAGTGTGTTGCGTGTCATTTCATATTTATACAGAAATCATAACAGGAGAATGTGACTAGTGCATTCCGCAACACCTTTGTCATTTCATTCTTTCCCTCACCCAGGGTCTTGATTCAAGAAGTTCTATTTCAATGCTAAAAAAACCCGAGTGCACGTGATGTCATGGAGCTCCACTGTGGTCAGATGATAGTGTGACTTCAGAATGTGCGTTTTATTTTAAGTGACACTAACATTAGCCGCATGGTACGTTTAAACATTTTCGATTCACTTTCTGCATTATCAGACACAAGGTTAAGTTACAAATTAAAGCATGATAGTCACAAACAGAAGTATGACTGCCAAGGGTCCTTTAAAATATGTACTATTAACCAAAAAGTATTCATGTATTTGTAAGGATTGCTGCTGCCGTAGCACGTAAAGCAACTGCATACCACAGGTTGTGAAGCAGGTCTCGCCATGTAGGCAACGAAAAGTGTGGTACCCAGCCTCTAAGGCATTTAAATACTGTAATTGATTTCACAAGACATGGAACATAATGTAGATTTTTGAGAAAAAGGTGGTTTATAATTGCTACTTTATCCTTTCAAGTCCAATTGGTTGCTACAAAAAAAAACAGTGATGCAAAGAAGGTTAAGCTTCAAAGTTTTTGTATTTCATATACCTGGTAATAAAGCATGTCACCAGCAGTGTGCAGCACATGCCTTGTCAGCAATGAAAGTGCAATCAAAAGTATTAGCAGTGGAGCTTTGTTCTGACATAAGTCGGCTGGGTTGCATACTTATCCTGCAAATAAGTCCCTACAAAGGAAAGCACATGCATGTAAAGAAATTGCAGGTAGTGGATTTAAGATACGCATCTTATGATCACAAGCATTCACAACAAACGAATGGAGATGACGTGTGTACAGAGGTAGCTTTGCCGTCTGTATAAATGATTGCTTTCGGAAGTTCCATACATGGTCCCATACATGGTCCCATACATGGTCCCATACATGGTCCCATACGGTCCCATACATGGTCCCACACATGGTCCCACACATGGTCCCACACATGGTCCCACACATGGTCCCACACATGGTCCCATACATGGTCGCGCCATGCAGTCCCATACATGGTCCCATACATGGTCGCGCCGAGGTGAACGCTTCTCTCCAGCTAAGCCAGAGAACGTGGTGCCAAGCACAACGGATTGCCCGCTGCGTGTCGCCGCGATCGGTGATGCCCCCATTTCCTGCCAGACGTGTTTTCGCTCCGCAGCGTCACTCTCCGGGTCAGGATGAGAGCATGTTGCGAATCATGGCGTGGATTGGGAAATGCCCGTGTCCGCACACGTTCTCGGCGTCGTCGTCGTTAAGCGCAAAGGTCATCACGCCGCCGAAGCCTCGAGCAACGACCCACACCACCTGCGATGGGTGAACATAAAGCGCTGGAGTTTAGCGAAAAAGATCACGTACTAGAAGAAATGTATGCCGTGATCGAAGTGGTTTGATATGCTAGAGCTTTTCGAGCAGAAATGCGACACCACACAAGCGAAGTATGATAGGTCAAGAGACGATCATAGGATTTCGGCTTTCTCTATCGAAGGCCGAATGATGACATTCTGAAGTGCAGTGAAAAGCGCGTGCGGTCTACAGAGGCGCAGCTTTCCCATATCTCAGTGTGGAGGGTGAATCTTTTTGAAGCCTTACTAATTCTGTGCATTGTAATAATTAGCAAAAAATTGTACGAGACGAAAGGGCATGTATGCTCAGGGCCACGTGCACATCAGGGCTGAATACTGTTAGAAAATAAAGTTACAAAATCGGCAGAGTGCAAACTATATATGCGGAAGCACATATAATCAAGCTATTTGTCAACTAAGACAATCTGGGTCTGAGTGGCACTGTGTCATTTCAGCATGGTTTATTGGTTTTTCCCAATAAATGCATGGATAAATGTCTCATTATATGCAGTCAGCGCTCCTCCCGTGTCTTTCCCTTACGCCTCACGTTTTTATTTCGCGCGCTTAATTATATACCTTTATAGCTCATCACTCTTAATTCTGTGCATCTTAGATTGATTGATATGTGGGGTTTGACGTCCCAAAACCACCATATGATTATGAGACACGCCGTATTGGAGGGCTCCGGAAAGTTAGACAACCACCTGGGGTTCTTTAACGTGCACCCAAATCTGAGCACACGGGCCTACAGCATTTTCGCCTCCATCGAAACTGCAGCCGCCGCAGCCGGGATTCGATCCCGCGACCTGCAGGTCAGCAGCTGAGTACCTTAGCCACTAGACCACCGCGGCGAGACAACATTGCAAAGGCAACAATAAATAGTAGCGCTTTTTGTTTTTACCATCCATTCACCCATGAAGGGAGGCCCTACATTCTACCATATTCGCAGTCTTCGGCCAACCAGAAAGACTGTAGTAGTAATTTGTGGGTCAATGAGAACTGACAAGACGGCGATTCAGTTAGAGATATGGTGGTCTTGGTCGCCATGTTGTAACGAAGCCTTGTCTGATGCCCATACTTTTTCTCTCGCACTTCATGAGATAGCCAAAGAATGAAGGCTTACCCACGCTTCAAACGGGAATCAACCGTGTGTAGCGATAAGACAGACAAAATCGAGCAGGACGCATGGCTACAAGCAGTTCAGCTTCAACCGAAGGACAGCGGTGCACACGTGAGTCACGGACGCTCACCGGCACAAGGTAAGCGATTGTGCTCTCTTGGATAGGAACGTTGGGGTATACTTGCGGGTACGTCCAGGCACTTAAATGGCTTCGTGCTATCCGCGTCGGCTGCGGTAGGCTGGTACGAGTTGAACTTGTCTTGAATCACGCTGCTTTCATATTTGCGAATTATTGCTGTTCTTCGGTGCTTTGGTTTTTTTACTATATGCATTGACATTCGTTAATGTTGGCAAAAAATTCCAAAACAAGCGTTTGCTCCCCCCCGCCTCCTAGCATTGACAAAATCCTGCATGCCGACGCCCACCACGGCAACCCAGTGGCGTGTGCCTAAAATATTCTATAGGCACTATACGTCTACGAACCACTTATGAGAGTGGTATAGTGGTGCGAACTGCCGCGTTTGTATGGACTATACGGAAGGTATTCGGGCGGTTACAGTTGCGGTCGTGCTTTTCGTTCTGGCGCGCTGAATTTCGTAACTTACAAGTGATGCGGTCTACGTAGGAAATGAGTCTTTGAGACGCCCTGAAAGATTTTGATCCTTTCTGGTTCGAATATGACGATACGCGATGACGCAAACGCGTCGCGGATAATCCGTGTATGTTTTCGGCACTTTTTCCGTTGGAAAAAACGTGCAACTGTTTCGACTCGTTTTAGCAGAGCCGCAACTGCCGGCACACTATAGGTATTCAATAATTTTTTTTTCCTTCCTGTATTGCAATATTTATGTTTATTTTCCTTGCGCTTTGCTCATGCTGTCGCAGCGACTGCACCGCTCGTACATGTGGTCGTGCGTGAGCACGCAGTCTCGATTTCGTGGCCATGATGTCATCTGTTAGCTGCTCACAAAGGGTTGTCTATCTTGTTGCGCCACTTTATGACCGCTTATTACTCGCTACTATATTGCCCACCGTTGTGGACGAAGTCAGGACGGTTTAAAGGGAGGCGCAGTTACATACATAAAAAGTGATGCTGAGGCAACACGCTTCTTTTTCTTTTTTTTTCTTTTGGGAATCGTGCCGTATATATATATATATATATAAAATAAGGGAAAGAAGTGTATACCTAAGGGCTCGTTTTTCCGTGTTTTAACACAATATTAATGAGATCTAACAGACAGTAATGCCAAGGAATGTACAGGGGAAGTTATTAGAACCAATGGAATGTAAATAAGAAGAAAGAAGAAAGAAAAGTGGATGAAAAAATAACCAGCCGTGATATATATATATATATATATATATATATATATATATATATATATATATATATATATATATATATATATATATATATATATATATATTGTTACGACCTCAGTAGGCGTCTGGGGGTTTATTGATACACGGTTCGAGGGACGAGCCGTATCGGCGCAGGCAGATGATGATGATCTTCTTCTTCCACACCCCTTGCTTCTTTTTCCTTCTTCGTCCGGCACATACGTGGCGTAACATTTCCCCCCTCGCAGACAAAGCGCGCCGCGCGTTTCATGCAGTGTCGCGTTGACTGAAAGGCTTCAGGCGAGCGACATGCGTGACCTCTGTCTTTCTGGAACGTCTCCCGCTAGCTGTAAGACGTGCGATGCGGTAGTCGACTGCGCTCAGGCGGTCAAGGATAACAAAAGGTCCGATGTAGTGCGCGAGCAGTTTTTGGCACAAGCCACGTTTGCGTAAAGGCTTCCACACCAACACGAGATCTCCCGGAATATATGTGGCCTGCCGGTGCTTGCTGTCATAACGAACTTTCGATCTGTCTTGCGAGGCTATTGTACGTAAACGAGCAAGACGACGAGCTTCTTCGGCGAGACAAAGAGTTTCTGCTAGGGAGATTTCTGATTGGTCCCGATCAGAGAAGGAAAATATTGTATCCAGAGTATAACGGGGGGGTCGAACATAGAGGAGGAAGAACGGGCTGTAGCCGGTGGTCTCATGTTGGGAAGTATTAAACGCGTATGTGACGAACGGCAAGACATCGTCCCAGTTCTTGTGGTTCGAAGCAACGTACATAGAAAGCATATTCACCAGTGTTCGAATTGTTCGCTCGACGAGACCATTCGTCTGCGGGTGATAAGGCGTCGAGTGTCTGAGCTCTGAGCCACACATACGGAGAAGTTGTTCGACAACGTCTGCCGTGAATTGACGTCCACGGTCACTTATGATGACGCGAGGGGGCCCATGACGCAGTATGATAGAATGGAGAAGGAAGGACGACACTTGACCAGCAGTCGCGGATGGCAGGGCAGCAGTCTCGCAGTACCGAGTAAGATGGTCAGCACATACCACAATCCATCTGTTGCCTTTCGATGAACGCGGAAAAGGGCCCACCAGGTCAATGCCAATTTGTTCGAACGGAGAACTGGGAGGCGTCACAGGTTGTAGATGTCCGGCCGGAGCTGCTGAGAGAGATTTGTGCGCCTGGCATTGCGCACAACTGGCCACGTACAACTCAACTGACTGGCGCATACGTGGCCAGTAGAAGCGTTCCTGGGTACGATGAAGAGTGCGCGTCGTTCCGAGGTGACCTGAAGTGGCGTCATCATGCATGGCGTACAAAACAGATGACCGTAGTGCCTCTGGAACCACCAGCAGGAAGCGGGAACCGGTGCCGGAGATGGATTTCTTGTACAGTAGACCATCACGGACGCAAAAGCGGCTTTCCGGAGTGGATGCTTGTGCGATCACGAATAACGGATTCAAACTCACGTCCTTCCGCTGCTCAGTTTCAAAGGTGGCCTTATCCGGGAACGCTGGTGCTACGGACGCAATCAGATGATCGAAATCGTCAGCGTCGCAAACTGTAGCATCAACTGGCATCCTTGAAAGGCAGTCTGCGTCCGCGTGTTTCCTGCCGCTCTTGTACGATACCGTGAAGTTGTACTCTTGCAGCCGGAGGGCCCAGCGTGCTAGACGGCCTGACGGATCCCGAAGGTTGATAAGCCAGCACAAAGAATGATGATCCGTAACTACTTGGAAAGGACGACCGTATAGGTATGAGCGGAATCGCTGCACAGCGAAGACGAGTGCAAGGCATTCTTGTTCGGTCACAGTGTAATTGCGTTCCGGCTTACTTAAAGTACGACTGGCATATGCGATTACGTGTTCCACTTGATTACATCGCTGTATGAGGACTGCACCTATGCCAATGCCGCTTGCGTCGGTGTGAACTTCAGTCGCCGCAGAAGGATCGAAGTGCCGCAGGATAGGCTGCGACGTGAGCAAGAACTTCAGTTGGTTGAAAGAAGTTTCACAATCAGGAGTCCATTCAAAACTAGCACCTTGGCGGAGAAGACAGGTCAGTGGAAAGGCAACTTCTGCAAAGGCGGGAATAAATCGGCGAAAGTAAGAGCAGAGGCCCAAGAAGCTCCGAAGCTCCTTCACTGAGCCAGGTGGTTTAAAAGCTCTAACAGCCGCCGTCTTATTCGGGTCGGGCCTGATGCCATCCTTGTTGACGAGATGTCCCAGCACCAGTGTTTGTCGAGCTCCGAAATGACACTTCTTTGCATTAAGAACCAAGCCAGCATTTCGAATACATTTCAAAACCAGCTCTACCCTTTCGTTATGTTCACTGAATGTACGCCCGAAGATAACAACGTCGTCAAGATAACACATACAGATGTTCCACTTCAGGCCGCGCAGAATGGTGTCCATGAATCTTTCAAATGTAGCGGGCGCGTTACATAGACCAAAAGGCATCACGTTAAATTCATATAGTCCATCCGGAGTAACGAAAGCCGTCTTTTCTTTGTCCATTGAATGCACAGGTATTTGCCAATAGCCTGAGCGTAAGTCTATGGACGAAAAGTAGGATGCTGAATGGAGGCAGTCTAGAGCGTCATCAATGCGTGGGAGAGGGTAGACATCTCTCTTTGTGACGGAGTTTAGACGGCGATAGTCCACACAGAATCTCCAGGTACCATCCTTCTTTTTGACTAGAATCACGGGAGCCGCCCAAGGACTCGATGATTCTCGAATGACACCCTTCTGCAGCATATCACGCACTTGTTCATCAATTATCTTGCGCTCAGACGGCGACACTCGGTAGGGTTTCTGGCGGATGGGCTGTGCTGTTCCCGTGTTTATCCTGTGGAGAATCCGAGACGCGGGAATCGAGGGCGCATGGTCATGGGAAAAATCGAAAATCGCCACGTATTTCGACAAAACGTCCAGAAGCATGCGGCGTTTGTCAGTAGTAAGTGACTTGTCGATCATAGGTAAAAGTTTTGAATCGGCCGTAGAAGTATTGGCTGAGGCCCCACCTGGAGCATCACTGAGGGCAGCCACTGCCATCGGTGAGTATGTTTTGAACTTGGCAAGCTTCAGTCCTCCTGGTAGAACCACCGACTCAGCTGAACAGTTTACCGCCCATAGTCCTGTGCGTCCTTGAACGAGTGACACTATGCAATGCGGCACCAATGTGTTCTTCTTAATGCAACTGAGATGAAAGGGCTCCACTAATGCGTCGAACGCACTGTCACTGTTTTCAATGCGTGAAGAGTATACAGGAACACAGACTGCAGAGAATGCCGGCACAATGCTATCTTCACTGACCCGGAGCGCACCGTGCTCCCTGTCTGAATTCTCTAATAGTTCTCCAGGGGCAGCATCACATATGTACACCTCTCCATTTCTACAATCAACAGTGGCGCCACACATTCGAAGGAAGTCAATCCCCAGGATTATGTCGTGTGTGCTCCTTGGAAGAATCGTAAACTCTGTGACAAACACTTGATCACCCAAGCACACTTCTGCGGTACAGACACCAATGGGACACAGCGAGTTACCACCAACGCCACAGAATGTTGTTGCCTTCTCCCACAAAAACATCACCTTTTGTCCTAAACGGTGTTTAAAAGCAGCACTCATAATCGAAACTGTAGCACCAGTATCCACCAAAGCCATCGTACACACACCATCAACAAAAACTTCTACCTTGTTCTTGAACATCAACACAGACGGGGGTATTTCGTTTTGCAGCAAGTCACCAGCGACCTCACCCCCATCGGCCGCACTGTTTAGTTTTCCTGATGTGGTGACGATGGGCGGCGCCGTGGCGATGGAGACCGGTGGGATCGAGGCGCAGGAGGTGGCGTCACACTTCGATCAGAGGCAGGGGAGTTGTTGCGCCAGTGTCCGTGCCAGAAGCTGCTGCCGGGTCTTGAGCCGGTGGGCCAGTGTCCTTGAAAAGGTGGGACAGCAGGTTTATCGGTCAAGCTTGTCCACTGATCATAGCGTGGTATGCGCGAACGATCGCAATACCTCGATATGTGACCAGTCAGACCACAGTTGTAGCACACAGGCGCAGGACGAGGTCGTCGCCGTTCTTCGAAGTGTTCACGTCTGCGAGCGTTCGCGTAAGCCCGAGATTCAATGAAATCAGTTGTCGGTGGGTGGTATGGGCGTACGGAACGGAAACGTTGAGGGTACTGTGATCGCTCGTAAAAAACCGGACTTGACTGCTGAATACGCCGAGGCCCTGCAACCTCCGTTGCGTTGACGGATGGATGTTCATAAACTGTAAGCTGTGGGGCAGTGGTGTCCTGCGGGAAATAGGATGGAGACGTGGCAGCTGCCCGTTCACGTGTCATTTCGCCATGTCTGAGTAACTCTTCCCGAACAATTTGGCGGATGGTTGCCGAAAGGTCACCAGTTGAGGCCGATTCTATGCTGGCTACTGAGGTGACATTTGCCAGACGACCAAACTTAGGCGCTATTCTGCGCTGCTTCAGGGTTTCAAACGTGCGGCAGTGCCGTACAACGTCAGACACTGAAGTCAGGCTTTCCCTGCTAATAAGGAAGTTGTAAACATCTTCTGCAATTCCCTTCAGCAAATGCCCCACCTTGTCCTCTTCCGACATGCTGGAATCGACTTCCCTACACAGCCTCAAAATCTCTTCAGTATACACGGTGCAGGTCTCACCGGATAGCTGGGCCCTCTGTGCAAGACTCTGCTCGGCAAGCTTCTTTTTTGCAGCTGAGTTGCCGAAACACTTCTTGATTTCTTCAACAAAGCGTTCCCATGTTGTCAGAATATCTTCATGGTTCTCATACCAAACGAGGGCAACATCAGTGAGGTAGAAAACAACGCGTGACAGTTGGGAGGCAGCATCCCATTTGTTGCAGTTGCTTACTCGCTTGAAATGTTTGAGCCATGAGTCCACGTCGTCATTGGCCCTCCCGGAGAAGGTTCGTGGCTCTCTGTGATACGGCCAAGAACTGCTGGGGACTGGTTCCCGAGCTTCTGTTTCGTCAGGCATGATGGCCAAAGAAGGAGGCAGGCCGGCGAGGCGACGACTCCGGCGAAATCCGAGGGGTAGCGGTCCCGTCGTTGGTTCCTATACCCAGCACCTTCCACCACTCTGTTACGACCTCAGTAGGCGTCTGGGGGTTTATTGATACACGGTTCGAGGGACGAGCCGTATCGGCGCAGGCAGATGATGATGATCTTCTTCTTCCACACCCCTTGCTTCTTTTTCCTTCTTCGTCCGGCACATACGTGGCGTAACATATATATATCGTAACAATATATATATATATATCGTATCGGTCGTAACAATATATATATATATATATATATATATATATATAATCAGGTGAGAGTCTTCTGTAGATGTAGTGATGAATAAAACATGGCTTCAACGGACGAACGTACGAGAACCTTTAATATTATCATGCTATATATAATAATAAAATAATGTTAAAACAACACTGGTGGTTACGGAACTCATAACCTAACGCAAGCGACGTACCTTGAACCGGAAGAACTCCGCGTTTGGCGACGCACGTCGCATGCATACTTATTTAAACAGCAGTTTCCTTCTCTCTCTCTGGGTGTTTGAACAGAGAATAATGGCACTCTGGTTTCCGTTGAACTTTCGGTGGCTGACATCGCAATAGAAGAGAAGGAAATCTCCAGTTCCACGCAAAACATGCTAAAATTGTTCCGCTCATCCAAGCCCGTACACTCCGCGCCGTCGGCACGAGCCACTAGGGAGGGAAGCCATAGAGAAAGGGCAAGCGATGGTCCGGTCCTTCTCGCTTTCTTACGGCCGAGCAGTGTGCTGCGTCAGCAGATAATCCAAAAAACGAGCTGTCCTCGAATCGGGTGTTTGCACACGACACGCAACTTCACGCATTGCATGCATTCACCCCTGGGGACGAAACAATAGTCCGACGATTTAAACTGCGTTGATATGGGCCTATGTCTACGCTGCTTGAAAAGTCGTGTCATTCCCATCGAATCATTGCTGGTGTGCGTGACACTTTATTATGACCAATGAAGCGCGCTGACCACTTGTCCTTTTCGCGGTGTTGCAGATGGTCCCCTTCGGAGAATCGTGTCCTCGAAAGACCGAAAATGCCCGTGCATCGTGTCGATCGGGTGCGCATTCTAGATGCTGTAACATATGAAGCTTAGCATGGATTGTGGTAAGTCAGACTTCTACAACGCACTATGTTAGCCTCGGCGTATAAAGAATACAATAACACATCTCGAGCTAGTTGGTTGATCATATCGAAGCGAAAAGCACGCACTTGACGATGACAGACAGATTCCGGAAACATGCGCGTCCGATGAAAAAAATTACCCGAGAGATCATAGAAGACAAAACCCTCGTAAACCTAAAAGACAGCTGCGTCAGTACCCCTTTCATAGCTCTGTCTAGCCTCCGATAGTCATGGTTCCATGTCGGGAACAATGATTATTGGGGGCTATAGATAGACAATTATTGTTCCCTTTCGTTAAATTGGTGTGCATCTGTCAGGAAATTCGCTCCTTTTTTTGCTGCCTTTCTCGCTATTTGTTGATACGTGTTCTACAATTACCATGGTGAATGAGCAATAAAAACGTGGGTTGTTATTCAGCCCATGTGTTCTGCGTTTCCTCTGTCCGCCATCGCAAATTGCTCGGTGTTGTCGCCTCGTCGTGAAAATAGCTCGTAGTTTTTTTCTTCTTTTGTCTCGGCCATTGGCTTTGCACCCAGCCGCTGTGTTCGTGTTATCTTTTTGTTCCGTTCGTGCTGCCTGTAATATGAGTAAAGACTAGGCGAGTTTCTAAGATTCAACACAGAAGATGAAAGTACAAGACAAAGACCGCAGGACAAGGCACTGAGCTAAGATATGACGTTTATTGCAAACCGGATCTTTTACACCAACAGCCACATGTGCGGACATGTATAGGGTTCCCCTTCAAGGAGAGAGAAGGTTCGTGGCATCGCCTCCCTCCATATTATGTGAAAGCATGAGGCTGACCTTATACCCCTGTCACACGGCCACCACCAAACTCCATTGAACACCATCAACGTGAATCTCCCCTAGGGGTTTCGACGGAGAAGGAGTTGTGGCAGTGTCACACGGCAATGACAAGGTTGTAACGCTCCCTCTTAGCTTACTGGGGGGGGGGGGGGGGGGATCCTCCTTCTCTCTTGCGCACGCCTATGCATACAACCACATTTAGTCGGGTGTTCGCAGGAAAATACCCTTCCGCTATTGTCGGCATTGCTAACTTGCGATGACGTTAGGTAATAGGAGTGAAACAAGCTTCGCGAAATGTCACAGTTGTAGGCGTGCAAAAGAAGAAATGCGCGTGGCGTTTGACACTTTACCTTGGAGCGAATGCTGGCGACGTTGTCGTAGCCGACCCAGGTGAGATTCTTGTAGGCGTACGGGACCTGACTCTCGTCATCAAACACTGACGTGGCACCGTCGTTCAGGAACTCGCAGACCTGCGTGCGATGGGGATGTTGTAAAAGGATCTGTCGTGCACTCGAACGCCGCTGCCATGCGCGGGACTATATACTTCCTCGAATGTTATCGCTATGCGATGCATGACGGGCTCTTTCAGAAAATATAGGGACGCCGAACTATATTTGCTTGAATACACGTGCGTGTCGTACACAAGAAGGGCGGGTGGGTATAGGCGTGACGATACAAACAAACAAGAAGACTGGCAGATCCCACGTACCGCGTGAATCGATGATATTCGAAGCACGAATGAGGAAGGTTGATATGTCACTTAAAAAAAAATCAGCGCAACGTTACGAGGCGGAGGTAAATTATGCCGTACATGACGTTCCATGTCTTGGTTATCATGTTTGGACGTGTCATTTACCTTCGTCATCTATACACGCCACCTGATACCAAATTTCGTATATGTGGAGCTAGCGAAACGGCCGTGAGCGTGCTACGAGCGTATAGCATGTGGTCAAGTTTTACATGACACACATACCGTGATTATCATAGTTTGTACGTGTCATTTGCATATGTCGTCCATTCACGTCAAGTAATACCAAATTCGGTACACGATGAACTATAGTGAAACGGCCGCGAGCACGCTATGAGCGTAGCATGCAGTCATGCTTTACAAGACACGCATATCGTGATTATCATGTTTGGACGTGTCATTTACCTTCGTCGTCTGTTCACGTCACGTGATACCAAATTTGGTATATATGGAGCAGGTGAAACGGCCGCGAGCGCATCATGTGCGTGGTACGTTATCATGACACGCGTGTCATGATTATAATGTTTGCACCAGTCATATACCTTCGCGATTCATTGAAGTCATGTAACACGAAATTTGGGATAAGTGGAGCTTGCGAAACGGCCGCGAGTGCATCATGAAGGGCCCAAAATACTGCGACGTAACGTTGACGCGCGCGCACGCTGGGCGCAACAACGCTAGCACCGGCGCGACCAGTGGCCGGCGGCAACCGGCGCGAAATGCGACATGCTGCCTTTCGCGCCGATGGCGTAACCCAGAAGCACTGCGTCTGACGCTCTTCGTGATGGAGGGACGCCGTGCGCTCAAACGCGCATGCGTCAAAGAATGGCGCAGATTGGCGCCTGGCATGGCATCGCCGGTGTCATAGAGTTACCCAGAATGAATTAGAGGGCACTCTGGCGCTGCCACGGAGGAAGGAAAAGGTTTTCTCCGTGGGTGCTGCGATCGTTCAGCGACCATGGGAATGATGGGTAGTACACACATTTGCCTAGCCTTCGTACTTGCGGGCGGCGAATCGTACTTGCGGTTTCGTTTATTACTGGTTACGGTTTTGTTTTGAAAGAAAGAACGAACCATTTGAACTTAGGGACTTGATTCAAAATAGTAAGCTTAAAAAAATAAGGTTGTGGAGCGCAAACGGTGAACATTTGCTAATTTATGTTTTCGTGAAAAAACAGCTCCAAGCCACACGAACACACACGGAGCCAGAAGCAGGCCAGAAGTACGAAAATTAGTCAAATGTGTGTACTACCCATCATTACCATGATCGTTGAAGCGCCGTGTGTTGCAACTCCCATAGACACTAGTGCCAGAGTTCCCTCTAGTAAGTATTGTGGGAAACTCTATGGCCGGCGTGACGCGATGAAGCAAACGCCAGCGCGCACGCGCGCCAGGTCACGTAGAAGTGTATTGGCGCCTCGAGTGTTTCTTGTAGTAATGTTCTTACATGACACAAATCTCATGATTATCACGCTTGAACCAGTCACATACCTTCGTCATACATTCACGTGACGTAATACCAAATGTGGCACATGTGAAGCTAGCGAAGCGGCTGTGAGCGCATCAAGAGCGTGACATGTAGTTATGTTTTTACATGACACGCATCTCATGATTATCATGTTTGCATCAGTCACATACCTTCGTCATCCATTCACGTCCCGCAATACCAAATTCGGTATATGTGAAGCTAGCGAAGCGACCGCGAGCGCACCATGAGCGTAGCGTGTAGTCGTGACTATATATTCATAACATAAAAACCATGACAAGCATATCACGATTTCCACGTTAGGGTCTGTCACTTATGTTCGCCATGCAGTCATGTCATCACATACGAGTTTTGGAAAAGGTCATGTCAACGAAACCACCGCAAGAGCAGCAAGACCATGAAATGTAAATTAGAACGCTCATGACATACATGTTACAATTTTCATGTTATGACTAGTCTGTTATTCTCGTCATGCAGTCATGTTATGCCATACCAATTTTGGTGTTGATACCATTACCGGGACGGCCAGGTGAGCTAAATGTAGTGTGCGGATAGATAGACAGATAGACAGATAGATAGATAGATAGATAGATAGATAGATAGATAGATAGATAAATAGATAGATAGATACGGCTAAAGTCGCTGAAGTTCGCTAAGAAATGCTTCGCATTTAAAAACAAACAAAAGAGGCAGTGGCTTAGCTCGTAGGTGGTACTGGGCACGTATGTTCAGTGCCACTTTCAATGTGACAGAGATGTGTTCGACAACAGCGCACCTGCTTATAACAGCGCAGATGCTAATCTGATCATAACGACGACAGTGCATGGTGTAGCGAAAAAATTGAACCTCCTCACGCTTTGCGAAATTGAACGTCCAGCGAAGCTATATAAATCGAGAAACACTCGCAGGGAGACCGGCGAACCATATGACGTCATTCGAAGCCCTTGTGTCACGAGCTGCGAAGCAGCTGCAACCTAATCTTTGGGAATTCGTGGAAGAGTTTTCCAATTGTTCACAGTCGCCTCATGATTCAGCATGCGCTTTCGATGCCTGTTTTGTGGTTTTCTTTATTGAAACGAATACTGAGCTCTAGTATAGTGTCTAGAAATATACTGCCTAGTGTGCTGAGCGTGGGCTTGGAGATGGCCCCCACAGCTGATGACTGCCGGCGGCGCCCGCATGGTGCGCTGCTGTGCGAGTGGGTGCATTTGCGTTCAATCCTTGCGCTCCGCAAGCGCTGCGAAGCCTGCAGGAGGCCGAGCTGCGCGAGACCAACTATTATTTCTTTGGCATTTTCGGAGTGTTATTTCCATAACGCTTTATAAAAAAAACTACTCGATTGCTTTCACAGTAATGGCGCTTTGCAATACCAGATGAGGATTATTTCGTGACGTACATATCGCTATCCGCTATTGCCCAGAAAAAAAAACAACAACAACAAAAAAAAAACAACAGGCAGATCCCACATAACTTGGGAATCAATGCTATGCAAGGTGACTCTGTTGTAATTTTTTATTAAGTGGAACATTATGAAGTGGCGCTAAATATATGCGAGATATTGGATAGTCAACACTGGAACCAGCACTGGAGTTTCACGAACGTTTGGCTCTTCTTGCAAATTAATTCGAAGACGTAGTAGAATACTTCGTTTCCACGCAGATTGCTTGGCTTCCATTTCTCTGCTAGGACACAAACGTTTATTATTTGCATTCGTTGGGCCAACGTTGCCAATGCCAGCTTAACGCTCACGCGTTAAAAAAAGATGTGGCGAGAATTAGGGTTTCATGGCGTACGTGACGGGATTGTAAAATTATTCATGTCAGGACCAGCGAGTCATATTAATCAAGCCTTCTTACCCACCCACACAAATTTTGGATTATCCTTAGTTAAGGGGGTGATCGTGAGGGCACCCAGACGTAGGCGATTTGACAGACAGACAGACAGACAGACAGACAGACAGACAGACGGACGGACGGACGGACGGACAGACGGACAGGCGGACAGACAGACGGACGGACAGACAGACGGACGGACAGACAGACGGACAGACAGACGGACAGACAGACGGACAGACAGACGGACGGACGGACGGACAGACGGACGGACGGACAGATAGACGGACGGACGGACAGACGGACGGACGGACAGACAGACGGACAGACGGACAGACAGACGGACAGACAGACGGACAGATAGACGGATAGACGGACAGACGGATAGACGGACAGACGGACAGACAGACAGACAGCACAACCCGTCAATTACATTACGAAACGAATTTTTTCGCGTCGCTTGTTCACGTGGACGCTATATCGCGCATTTTTTGTTGCTTTGTTGCGCAAATGGTGCTACCCGGCTGAACACTTAAAAAAAAGAAAACAATCTTCAATGTTCCAAGGTATGTCTTCACTCGAAACTGACCGACAGGCTTCGACGCAATGCCAGCTTCAGTGAAGGGAGGCCGAGCTGCCGTAGACAGCGAAAGAACTGTAGTTAGCTTAAGTCGCGTCTAGGTCACGTTCGCCAAGTTGAAGCGTCTAAATTGGACAAACTCTGAGGCCGCCTGCAGTAAAGAATCAGGCGGCTCTGTCGTGCCGATTAATGACGGCGAGTGAAGTCCTTGCGACCTCTTTTCAGAGGCCAAGGTGTACGCTGGGCAGCGATTTACAAAAGGGGGCACCATCTTCGCGAGGAACACTTTAAAGCTGATGGGTGCATTGGGGAGGGCCAGTAAATTGAATACGCCATTGTTCTGATGAAAATGAAGAAGCGTTTTTTTTTTTACGCAAGGTTCATTCTAGCAGTATATAGCTTGCTCAAAAACAGAATGCGACCGGTCATTGGACCTACCTGCAGAATTTTGACACTGATCACGAAGAGTCGCACAATTGTTTAGAGTCTGACTTAACGCACGCCAGTGGTGCAGCCAAAGAGAGTCACCCCCCCCCCCCTTACGATTTTTAGCCCTGTATCGATGTGTATATAAACACGTGCAAATGCACGCGCGATCATACATAAGATATGTTTGAACCGAACAACCCCCCTTTCCCATCAAGAAAAAGAATCCTGCACGCTGCGGCTCGACGCTAAACCAAATGACTTAATGAAATGTAAAAAAAAAAAAAAACAGCCCTCGTATGACGAGGACAGGGAAGAAATCTACATGTTGCGCTAACAACACACTGCAACAGGGCGATACACGGGAAAAACAGGGCGTGCCAGAACATCGTCACGCCAACGTGAGCGGGGGGGAGAAAGAAATTCAAGGCACGTCGTGCGCGTGAGGAATGAAAGGGGAATTCATCCCAACATCCTTAGCGGTTGTGCCATTTGACATAATTAGAGATAGTACCTGACGCTTAATTCATGTTCCAAAGCCACGGTAAGGCATGCCTTAGTGGACGCGTCTCCAGAAATTTCGACCATCTGTTGTTCCCTAACGTGCGCTCACATCACGCAGTGTATACGAGTCTCTAGCAATCGCTTCTATCGAAATGCGACCGCCGAGACTGGGATAAAACCCGCGACCATATAGGGTGAGTAACCAAGTGCCGCAACCACTGTACCACCAATGCATACGTGTTTCGGCAAGATCAGGAGAACTGCGACTGTATAGCCAGAAATAGTTGTTAAGACCCAGTTCTCCATCCGTATATCCTTAAAGCATGCAGGGCTTGACCTCCCTTCGGCAGGTCAACTGTATAGCACACAAGCAGCCGTTTGACAAGCGCTAGAGTTCATTTATTTGGCACTATATGACCCTCCAACATCCCGGATATTGACTTAATCGCAGTTATTCGGTTGATGGCCTATCCGCATGCTAACAAACAAAAAAGAAAACAAAATCCGCCATGCTGTTAAATGCAATTCGCCGAGACACGGCTCACCAAGGGCCGCCACACTACCAGACTAAGCTTCCTGGCCCAGCATGCGTGTACTGTTTCACGGGGCTCTTGAGCGTGAAGTTACCTGCTCGTGAATTAGTGAAGGTTCACTTTAGTCTAGTAAAATAACTGACAATTGTCATTTGTTTACTTGTGCATTGCAAGTCTGGCGTAATGCCAAAGATTCACGTATTTTACTTGCTTTTTAGGCAAGAAATAGTGAAAATAAAATGTTGCATTGTCATGCCAATGCCTCTCATTGCACTGAGTCACCATCATCATCAGCCTGACTGCGCTCACTGCAGGACAACGGAAGGCCTCTCCCATGATCCGCCAATCAGCCCGGTCTTCTGTTTTTTTTTTCTACTGCCACGTTATACGTGCGAACATTTTATTCCCATCGACCCATCTAACTTTTTTGTCTGCCTTTCGTGCGTTTGCCTTCTCTGGGAATCCAGTCAATACACTTAACGACCAGTGGTCATCCTGCCTACGTGTTACATGCCCGAACCATGTCCATTTCTTCTTTTTAATTTAAAATATCACATCCTTAACCCCGGTTTGTTCCCTAACCCACTCTGCTCTCTTCTTGTCTCTTAAGGTTACACCTACCATATCCATCTCCATCGCTCGCTGTGTCGTCCTCAATTTAAGCAGAACCCTTTTTGTAAGCCTCCAAGTTTCTGGACCGTAGGTAAGTACAGGCAAGACACGGCTGTTTTATACTCGCCTCTTGAGGGTTAGCGGTAAATTACCATTCATGATTTCGGAATTCTTGCCGAATATGATCCACCCCATCCTTGTTCTTATAGTTCTTTCATTCTCATGGTTCGGCACCGCGAGCTAATGTGATGTGTTTTTACCTCGCATTAATTTCGAGTTATCTTTTCCGAAGTGCAATTTTTTGCACTTGATTGGAGGGGCACATTGAGTGCACTAGGAATAATACACATATTTGTACAACATACATAAGCATTTCTTCAGTTCTATAGACATTTGACCTCTCTACAGTGTGATCGCCCCAAACACATCTGTTACCATTTCATCCATAGTGTATATATATACTTGTGTATACATCGCCAATACATAAGCCCCCCCCCCCGCTACACTTCCCCCCTTTTTCTTCCGATGTAGGAGGGAGACGTCAAGCCCTGGATGTTCGACTAGCAATGCACTTTATACGTACATTGTACTCTGTTGGACAACTGAGATACCTTTCAGTCGTATAGGTTAACAATATTTCTTTAGATTCGGCTTGCTATCTATCATTCTCTCTGTATATATGAACAACAGGCACACGTACCCAAGGGTATGGGACGGAGCCATCACACGGTCCAATGCCCGTGGCTGGTGCGTCGAAGCCATGCGACTCTGGCCGCAGGAGCGTGTAGGTGCGCCCGTACAGTGGGAGCCCCACGACGAGTTTGGAACGGTCGGCACCCAGCTCCACCCAGTACTCTGCCGACCAGGCCTGCGCAAAAAAGCGTGTTCGTGATATGAGAGCAGTCTCAGCTTCGGAAAAAAACAGTGCGGCTATGTCAGGGGCGAAGTAAGTAACATTTCCCTGGAGGGAGGGGGGGGGGGAGGGGGCAGCCATTTAGATCTATGGTTCCTCTACCTCGATCTGAAGGCGGGGGGCAGGTGGGCAGAAGTGGTCAAGTGTCATTTTTTTGCTCTGTATATCACGGCGAAAAATATACCTGGGGAGGAGGGACCACGGGCCCGGTCTGCCTTTATCCCTTGTTACGCCACTGGGCTATGCATAAAGCAGTTCAAATAAGAGAACGCAGCACAGAATAATCCCGTTGACACGTTTCCCCTCGGTATTTCCAAGCATGGGCGTAGGCAGGGGGTGAAAATGAAGCTCTTGCCCCCCCTCCCCCTCTCTTCAGCCATGAAGGCCCACCACACCCCAAGTGCAGAAGATTGGGCGAGTTAATTGGTTCGTCGTACTCGAGCTGATATAGTGTATTACGGTAAATAAAAAAAATGGCTGAGTAGACGGACACAAAAGGACCGAGGGTTGATTTCCTTGGCGCTCTGCCCTCTTGCAGTTCAAGTACCACCTCACCCCACCAATGAAGAAGCGACAGGACGAAGGGGAACGCACACATGCTGTGTGCGCGTCTTCTTCGTCTTGCCCCGTTTTCATAAACATCTCTCGGAATGAATCCTCTGATTCTGATAGCTGAGAAAAAAAATTACCCCGATTCTGGGTTTTCACGTGCCGAAACCGTATGGTTACGAGACATACCGAGTCATTCTTTACCACTTCGGTCGAAACGAAACGGATTGCTTGACCTCATATCTGTATACATTCAAAGTTTCTACTTTGTAGAAGCATTGTTCTATGGTGTCCTACGACTGCAGTTTATTCCGCATGCTATGAGCGAAGCGAAGTATCCTGATGCACGAAATCAAATGAGCAATTGTTTAAGGGAATTGGGTTATGTTCGGAAAGTACGTCACCGCGAAGTATCTGCGCTGGACTCCTTCGATTCCGCAAACAACACACTGTTACGATCATTAAGATAAATTTGAAGAGCGCCCCACGAATACGTCGTTTTCGTCATTTGCGCAAGTTTCAATGGGGGAAATGGCATGCGGGCTTTACCCGGAGAATGACTTACCACGTGAAGCGTAGAGAAAATGCCCTCTTCCACTTTGCGTTTGAATAAGGGGCTGTTGTGGCCCGTGAACGGTAGGTAAGGCTTGTACATGTGGTAGTCGTAGGTCATCAAATTGATGAAGTCAGCGTACCTGCATGGTGGAGGAAGGACAGCGTCGAACACTGTCGTTATGTAGAGAGACAATTATACAAGACTGAAAAAAAAATTGCGCTACAGTTGCTGCGAAAATCGAAGTTAGGGAGGAGACGAAAATTGAAGGGGACACTACAAGCGCAAACTATCAACTGCAGTTCACTGAAATAACTTGGAAGAAAGAAAGCTTCCAGGAAAGAGAAAAGTCGGTTTACGAAGAGGGTGGGGCGCGGCAATCTTGCTCAACTGTCTTCAGATGCTACAAGTGGGGAGATACCGATCACTAGATGTGGTGCTGATTCCAAGTTCTTATCCGAGTATGCTAATTCAATTGCTATTTCTGGCTTCTGAAGAATTTGATTTCCGTGGGGTTTAGTAGAATGAAGCTGGAACTGACGCATGCGCTTTATTGGTCTGATATGCGAAAGGCTTCGCAAATTTCGCGTGTAGTTTTATTGTTTGATTTCGCCAAAACGTTGTTTTTTCAAATATTGGGCTACACCCATTCTCCCTGCAGTGCATGGAAAGATTGCCTGTGACTGCTGTCTGCTGGCATGCATAGCGAGACCCTTTAGGCTGCTTGTTGATGCATCTTCCCGATTGCCCAACATATCCTTGCCACATGTTAGTGGGATAGAGTGTACGATGCCTACTTCATATTCAAGGTATTTTTTTTTAGCATAACGTGTTCGGCATGATTATTTCTTCGCATGAGGGTCGTTTAATTTTTGGCACATTCATTCCAACTCGACTTGAGCTGAGAAGACAACATCCAGCTCATGCCTCGCTCTGGTATTTTTTAGTTTATGGGATGCTCTTGTGACTGTATGGTACCACTACCCGCTTTTTGTCATGCTTAAGGTTTTCTTTCGTTTCATCTGTTTTAGAATGTTTTCCCCAGCTGATACCAGCATGCTGCCTGGGTAGCCACTTTTTTGTAGGCGCTGTATCTGCAGGTCAAAGCTCTCATCGCATCTTTGTGCGCAGCAACTTCATGTATACTGTATCATGCTTGCGTAAGCAATGTTCATCTTTGCTAACTTCATGTGCGCAGAATAGAAGTGGAGCATGCCCTTTTCTCCTCTCAGTATTTTTTTCCAGTCACGAAAAACCATCTAGCCCATTGCCTCACTTTGCTTACAAATATACAAAGATACGCTTGAAATGGAAAGTATAAAAGTGCGTGATTATAGCTACAAAGGGTACCCATACGCTTTTCCCACGTAGAAAGCTTTCCCGGACCAGGATGAGTTTACTATTTATTTATTTATTTATTCAAAATACCTTACAGGCCCACTGAAGGGCATTGAGTAAGGGGGGCATCAGTATACAAACAAAATAACAATAAAGGAGAAAAGCAGACGAAAAAATATATACATATATAAAAGATTACAAAAATCAAAAATCAAGGTGCAACAGCGTTATACAATGCTAGAGTGCAACGAATTCAGGTTGTCACGAAAGATTTCACGGTTACAAATGGATACAACATGATCGGGAAGACCGTTCCAATATGCAATGGCTCGAGGTAGTGATGATAAGTTAAATGCCTGCGTGTGACCATGAATGCGCATAAAACTACGGGCATTGTGAATATCTCAAAGGTTCCACTTCTGATAAATTCGTACAAAACTGTTCTTTCATAGCATAATAAATTCATAATACACACGAACCACTTTTACATTTGATGAACCTTATACCCCATCTTGCCCGCTTTCGCAGAACTGGCTTGCCGAACACAACACCCACCAAATGAGCCGGACAATGTGGCTACTGGTGCGCTACTCAGGTCTTGGTGTTTGATTCTGACAACGGCGGCCACTTTTTGACGGGACGAAATGTAAAGGCGATCTTGTACTTAGATGTGGATGCACGACAACGAAACCCATGTGACCAGAGTTAGCCCGGAAACCCCCCTGTGCGGAGGGCTTCAGGGCGACTTCAAAGTTTTGGTACGTAAGATATTGGAGCCCCACGCTAAATAGTAATACGAAGTTAGGAGGTGGGGAATCCGATGTTTGACAGCTCCAGACCCGATAACGCGTGCTGGGTATGCGTGCCGCTGTCGTTGGAATGAGGGTAGTAGCTATTGTGTTGAATTCGGCCTCTATCTCGTTTTTATCCGCTAGATCAAACCATCCCTCCCGTCTACCAAATAATTTACATACATGCATACATACATACATACATATTTTGGCGACCCTTTTGTGCAAACTTAGTGTTTTCATTAGTATTTATATATTTTAATTTGTTCAATGTCATTCCACTCTCTATTGTTTCCATAGCGCATGTTTCTATATGTAATATAACTATTACAAAAATTACAGCATACCAACGGAGTGAATGATGATGAGTGGGGTGAAGTGTCTGTCTTGTCTGTCTGTCTTGTCTATCTGTCTTGTCTGTCTTGTCTGTCTGTCTGTTTGTCTGTCGTCTGTCTGGCCAACCCCCCACTTTAATCATCAACTATAAGAGAGAGAGAGAGAGAGAGAGAGAGAGAGAGAGAGAGAGAGAGAGAGAGAAATAGAGAGGAAAGGCAGGGAGGTTAACCAAGCTTGGCTCGGTTGGAATACCCTACCGCCATATAGTGCTCTTACATACAATTTTACTTTGACTCACAGCGCCATCTAGTGTGCAATTTATAAACTATAACAGGCTACATACTATGTACTATTGGCGGGGGAGGGAATGACCCACATCCTAGGTAAAGTGAGCTAGCTCACTTTACCCTAGGTTGTGGGTCATTCTCTTCGCCGTTCAAAAGGGCTGACCTTCTTAACACAGGCAGAACTCACCGCGAGATGGCTGTCGCATCGTACCCTTGCTGGATGAGCTCCGCCGTTGCTGCCACAGCGACTGACAGCAACAATTCGTTGCGGTGAGTTGCATCCGACTCGTTCTTGAATGACTCGCGGACTTCCTGAAAACGAGACCCGCATTGAAACTCGCAAAAATGGGTACTTTTTAAAGAATGATGTTCACTTGGCCAAGACTGTGGACGTATTGTTACAGCTTACTTCAGCTCCGTCGGAGCGTTTGTTGCAATAATCATCGCCTTTAAGGAATGTTCCATTGTTGACATTCCGCTGATCAACTTGAATAACTTCTACAGAATCGGCCGACAACGTACCACAGTCGCTAATTTCGGTGATTTATTAATTTAGGCTCGTTTTAATTTTTCGTTTCCGTGAAAAGTACGTTCTGAAACGTGGAGCTTGGTGGAGGTGATTTTTGACGGTGGAACTTGCGCAGCATTCTCAACTCTTCATAAAGTATACATGAACAAATAAGCATGATTCTGTGAAACTGTTACATGTAAAAGTAGACAATCACCATTTGATTCGTTTGGGTTGAAAAGTAGTAGTAGGTTACCTGTAAGCAGCTAAATATGAACGTGAGTAAGCGTCGTAAGAATTTATCACGCTATAGTGCGCTTCTATGACATTGACAACACTTTTTGCTCTTGCATTTTTTTACGGCCCACCGAATTAAGTGTGGATATATTTTTTTTTGTTTCATTAAGAAGTATGATAAAGTAATCTTGCTCATCTTAACATCAATGTTTGGAGTCTCTTTAGTACACTTCTACCTATATAAATGTACGTTGTTATCTTCCATGAATTGGTGCTGAGCTTTTCCCGTGCTGTAGGCTATATGCAATATAGATTCATTGCCTCTGTTTTGTGGCTACACAGACGAGCACTGCATGGAAGTCGGAAACATGATCTGCGGCCTTCCGCAAACGCTCAGTGGAGGAAGTTCCAGAAGGGTTCACCTTGAGAAAGACGTCAAAGTTTTTGCGGTCTTCTTCCGGTGGAGCTCCCTGTCCAGGAAATTCCCAGTCAAAGTCGATGCCATCGAATCCGTACTCGCGAAGGACCGCTATAGCTGATGCTACAAACCTGCTCGAAGAAATATTTGTTAGGACGGTGAAGTATCTATATTTGTGTGCTACTCGGCATGTTCGTTACTCGAGCGCAACAGCTGTGTGTATATGATGTATATATATATACGTTTGAACACTGAAGTTACCTTCTTGAGGGCGCAGTAGCTGAACGCAGTTGCCACGGCACAAAAGTGCTCGTAGCACTAAACGTTGAAGGACACGCACACAAAAAGCAGGTCAGGGAAAAGAGGAAGCTTGAGACTAAAAGTTCACGAACATGCGGATGTTGCTGAGCCGGGATTTCCACCAGCGGACTTGTCCTCTTCAAGTTGCAGCCTTGAAAGAAAAGTGCGCTTGTCGATACGCCGGCTCCAGCGGCACACCGTGTCCGAGAATTTTTAGTCTCTGCGAACGTTTAAATAGATACAAAGGCACGTCTCGAAAATCAATACCTCCTATTCGTATCCACACGTCACAAGTAAATTTTGCTTAAGCATGCATGACGTCAGCGTTTCCTTTCGCTGAGCCCACGATTGCACACGCATACACTTTTACAAAGGCTCGTCGATGTGACATATGTACAAATACGTACCCGAAGAAACGTAAGCGTGCACATGGGTCCCCTTCGGAAAGGGAGTTGGGGGCGGGGGCGAAGGCTGGTCGCAGTGCCCCAGCTCCTTATAAAGTCGACGTTTGGGGCAGACCCCCACATACACACACTCAGGTGAGTAGGGCGCACGCCTATGCGAATAAATAACTACTTCGCGAACACGTACAGTGTGTTGATATTGCAAATTCACTGCACAACGCGAAAAAGACACGATTTCGACTGGTCGTGTCGTTCATAAAGTATTAGAAATTACACGTCTATAATAGGAGCACCGAGGAAGATAGGACCACCTACTGAAAAACCAGTCAGACCTACTCGCAGCATTCTACCATTTTTTCATGCAACTGTTACGCTAAAATGAAGGTGGATGATGCCGAAAACTGTGTCTCAAAGCTGTGTCTCAAAGTGATAAAACAATATTGCAGTGACAAGCCTACGTGCGAGGTCTGTCAGTCCGTCGCGGCATATCGGAGTATATGCCTTTGTCGACCACTCTGTGCAGACGACAACGTCGCCTTATGAAGGGCGTACATACAGCGTCCCTTTTGTTCTCCAAAATCTTCCTTCTAAGAGAATACGTTACAAGTTAATAAGAGTCTAAAAGCCTTTCCGACTACGGTGGTATATCAAAATGCCCAACGTGGGGCCGCTTTCTCTCTTAACTGCTGGTCACGGCTGCGCTGTTTCTATGGGCAATATACTAAAAAAAACTAGATACTTATAGGCTCAAGAGAAGAGCCAGCAGAAGAGCACCCATTTCAACGCGCAAAGACAAGAACTCACTGCAGCTCTGGATAGACTAGACGATCGGCCTTTGTCGGAACAAAATATTCTGGGTCATTGGCCGAGCCCATCCTCAGCCCAGAAGGCTTTGAAAGCTTTGCTGCGCTTTTTGCGGACAACTGGCCTCAGAGACAGACTTTAGTGTCTTATACTCTTTGATGTTGCCTTTCCTCTGTCGCAATTTTTTTTGTAATTTCTCCCTCTCTTCGCAACATTTCTTTTTAACATCTTTCATTCCCCTCACCCCTTTCCCCAGCACAGGGTAGCCAGCCGGTCTAAGAACTGGCTAACCTCCCTGTCTTTCCGCTTAAACTTTCTTCCTCCAGCAGAGGATAGACTCGTACTTTTTCCTTCCATCCGACGAAGCGATGACAGCGCTGAATACTCCCTTGGAGCCAAGCGCTCCCAGGGACAGCATCACCTTCAGCGACGGATTGGTGGTCTTCAGAGCCACCAGCCGCCTGTACTGAATCGTGTCCTCCGGCCGTTCCGGAACTAATGCGTCGTCGCGCACGGCAGCGAATCCGCACAACAGGTGCGTGCATAGATGGGCCATCGCCGGGCCCGGGTCCAACGTGGGTGGCAGGACGTAGTAGCAGACACGCTTCTTAGCCGCCGGCCCCCGCCACGCCGGAACGTGGCTTGATGACTGGTGCATGGTTGGCACTGTACGAGTCGAAAATTGAAATAGATTGAGAAATTCAAGCGCCATCAATACAACTAAAGCCCCTGTGCTTTAAATACATAGACTAAGAAGAAAAGGACGATGGCCTCCGCCTTCTAGTCGTCTTAAGTAAATGCGTAAGGATAACATTGATCCCGGTATAGAAATTATTATTCCGTTAAAGGTTATCCGATCGGTAGAAACAGTCATCCATAGGCTTCGACTTGGTACAGCCTACACAATGGCCTTCCTGTATAGAATAAGGAAAGCTAGCAGTCCTGTCTGCTCATGTGGAGAAGCTCAAGAAGACGTGGAGCACATTCTTCTACATTGTGAAAATTATGAAGTTCCCCAAAAGAACCTTTTACGAAAACTAAATTCTTTGATAAGCGACCTCCATCAATTGCAAAAATTTTGAGGCCAAAAAAAAAAAAAAAAGGTACAAGCCACTGCAGCGCGTGCAGTCATCCATTTTCTGGGAGAATCAGAAATAGCTGAAAAGTACTAGAGGAAAAAGAAAATGTATTACCGCCACTGTTAACCGCTATGTTTCAAAACAATATTTTCATGTTTCACTACGATATTTTTGGGAAAACGTTTCTGAAAACAATTCACTACTTAAGCGACAAGAGCACCTTAGACATTTTATTGAACTTTCATGTTTTGTGTGAACACTTAAATTGGCGTCATTACTTGTGTTTTTACAAACTCTTAGTGTGGTGTGGACACATTTCTATGTAGTGTGGACACATTTCTGTGTGGTGTGGACACTCAGTATTAAAAAACGTGGACTCATAGCGTAAGCGTTGTGCTATGTACATATGTATAGCCTTGTGTTTGTTACAAAATATGCGATGTCGACTATTGAGCAACAGAAGAGGAGTAGCCGGTGCCACGCATTGGCGCCAACCTCCCATTATATACATTTCTTAAAAAAACAAAAAAACCTTGCGAGTTTTTTTTAAAAGGTTGTCGGGGTGGTAGAGGGCTCTTTCGCACGCACACGTATGCATTAAAATAAAAAAAAATCTGCTTTAATGTAGCCATTGTTAGCAGCTTCATACGACGAACAGGCGCAAGCGATGCTTCAGCGTTAATAAACTCGCTGTGTCACTTTCGCTGCGAGATATTCAAGCTTGATCTGTATCCACTTTCTTTAGCTCGCTGAGAGAGCAACCACTCGTTTAGAATTTCATTACCTGACTCTTTTATATTAGGCGTGAAATGGCGGTTTCTCATCTCATGTCCAGTGGCCTTCTCTGCATTTGAGCTGCCCCACATTGACTTGAATTCGCAAAGCTGAAAGATAGTTTGACACGAAAAAAAAAAGACAAATTGCGAGAAAACAAAACACGACTCTGTTTTCGGCTGCTTTGAAATTATTTATGCGTACCTGACACTTAATAATAAAGTCGGCCGGATAAAAAAATATAACATAAATTTAAAATGACAGAATTAACACTGAGCTGGTTAATAGAAATTCACCTTGAAAAAAGAAAGCACATTTGTTTATACAAACTGGTGTCCCATTGGACTAGCGCGGGCTATACATCACATACACACCAGAATATTTTTCAACACAAATCTAATAAAAAAATTGTAGGAATCTCGAATGTTACGTAATTTAAAAAAACAACAGGTGATATATAGCTCAGCATGAATGATATTAACTTGTACAAAATTTCGTTAATGAAAATGACTTCATTTCACGATAGTTGATATCATTTTTCAATTTTATGGAAGGAAAGAAGCTGTACGCAAATAAGTTGGCACATAGATGGAATGATGCAAGATTAACTTTGTGGCTATACCTGATAGGTTTAATAGTATTAGAAGACAAATGTTTGTTAGCTAACAACGCGTGCAAACGTGAACAAAAGTTAATAGACCCAGGCAATACAAACGCCGCATATATTGCGTGGTTCTTTTATCTTATGTCCGTGTTTGCAGGCTTTACTTTCTTTCATAAGCATGAGTAATAGCCAATATGGTTAAAGCACACCTCTGCTCATTCTCAACATTGCATTGCGTCACTGCCGAAGAAAGCTCCATTTGGCACGTGCATAAAGCAGCGAACGGAAAAAGGTCAGTACTAAGCACGACTCTACAATTCCAGCACGTTACTAATACATACGTTACGTTTTCCTCATCAGCAGTCACTGAGAGATAAAATAGAAAAAATTCAAAGGCTAGCAGTGCGCTTCATTTGCTCGCGGTACCGGAGGACAGAATCCGTCACAAATTTGTTAAAATCATGTGCGCTAGAACCCCTGCAAGTGCGCCGCAAAAAGCAAAGGTTAAAACTCCTGTTTCAAATTATAAGAGGCGAAATCAAAATGAATAAAGACCCATACATACAACCTGCACTCAAACGAGGAGCTCGGTTGAACCATAGTCACCCAATAAGGCCTTTTTGGGCGCGTCTGGATGGCTTTAAAAATTCTTTTTTTCCGTATAGTATAGAAGTGTGGAACAGACTTCCAGAGTACGCTGTTACTAGCGCAAATGTCAAAGAGTTTGAGTGTTCGCTAGAATTGTACTACCGGCAACATGAAACGTAATGTCTGTTTTGTCATTGTGTATTGTTTTTGTTTTGTGTTTATATTCCTCCCTGTAATGACCCTCAACTGAGGGTTACAGTATTAATAAATAAAAAATAAAATAAAATAACACCTTCTCAATGAAAAAAATAAACGTATTGTTGTAAAAACGCACTCTCTCAATGACAAAGAGATCAACGCTCACCTCTATTATATCTATCCTCTTGGGCTGTTGCAGCTACAGCGAGAAGAACCCATATTAGGGATGTGCATGTCCACCTCATAATGACGTTGTTTATCCGCGAGCTGTGGCGTTCTCAAGCGAACGCTTGCGTCTTCTCGTTCGCTGTAAGCGTCGCGATTGTACGCGTTTCGCTCGGGCCAAGCACCCCTTGTCTGACGACGCAGGGGGCTCGGCGAAGCGGCGGAGGAGAGTCGGAAAACGATAACGGTGCCCGCTTTCGAAACTCGAAGGGCGATACCACGAGTGACGTCCTTCATTCCTGCTTGCGGCTGGCTTCTGTTTGCGCCGCGCGATGTACTACAAACACGATGCGTCAGACCTGCCGCTTGAATGCGGCCGACTTATCAGTGGGCGAGGGAGCGCAACAGATACACTTCAAATTAAATCAAATCAAATCTTTATTTTACTTTTCCACAAAAGGATGGGGCGGCCGCAAAAAGCTACTGTGAGAAGTAGCTTGACGAGGCGGACGCCCCTGAATTGACGGCTTTGGATTGATTAATTGATTTGTGGGGTTTAACGTCCCAAAACCACCATTTGATTATGAGAGACGCCGTAGTGGAGGGCTCCGGAAATTCTGACCACCTGGGGTTCTTCAACGTGCACCAAAATCTGAGTACACGGGCCTACAACATTTCCGCCTCTATCGGAAATGCAGCCGCCGCAGCCGGGAATCGAACCCGCGACCTGCGGGAATTGACAGCTTTGGAAAACACTCCAGAGAATCAGAGTCATCAATGGCACAAAATAAACAGAAATAGAAGTACTGTACGCAGAGACGATCGCGAATGACCCACGAAAATACCAAGAAATCAACACCACCAAGAAACACTGATACCTACAATCAAAAACGTCCTCTTGTAGTACTTCGATGTGGTATCACAATATTTGCCGCAAAACATTAGCTGTTCGACTAAGAAATAAATAAGTTTGGTGCGATTAGAGTGCTGCTTCATAACAGTATGCTCATTTTTCCATTGTAGTCCACGCAGCCCCAGCTGAGCAAAATTATACGTTTGCGGCTCGTTAGTTTTTTTTTACGTACCACGTGCATGATAAATTTTCTTTTCGCCTTTCTTTTGTGATCTTCAGTGCTGTCGGTGAATTTTTATGACTCTATTTATGTTGTTAATGGTAAAAAGTTTTTTTATTTGGTCATATCAGCGTCAAGAGGCGCTGGCACTCACAATGCCAGAACCCACCGAGGCAGCTTAGCACGTATAGGTGTCCCACTGGTGGGCACTTGGTCGCAAGCTTGATTCTCGGCCACAGCGACTGCATTTTGATGGAAGTGGAAGGCAAAGGACACCCGTCTGTTTATATATAAATATACGCTAGATAACCCCAGGTTGTCCAAATTAAAGTTTTCCTCTACAGCATCCGCCATGGTGGTGTAGCAGTTATAATGCTCGGCTGTTCACCTGAAGGTCGTGGATTCGATCTCGGTTGCATTTAGATGAAGGTGCAATGCTTGAGGCTCATGTACAATGCGATGTCAGTTAAAGAACATCAGATTGTAGAGATTTTCGGAGCCTTCTACTGTGGCGTTCCTCATGATCTTACCAGGGTTTTGGAACATAATTTACCGTCAAATATTTTGTAATGCCAGACGTATCAGCTCTTGTCCGCAACCAAATCTGAGGCGCGTCGTGTCGTGTCACTGGTACAACTCGTTATTTCTCAAACATTGCCACTGGCCTTGACCGGACGGTAGATACTGTTACCGCTACCGCAAGCTATCATCGCGCCCCGACAGCGAGCGGAGCACTTTTGTCGCTGCAGTGTTTTAGCGACCCCAGCACGCTCGACAGCTTATGTGCATATCCGCGCACACGAACACTGTTTATCCGGGTAATCGGTTGTGTTTGCGGCGATAGTCCTATGTGACGTGATCCGGCCGCTCAAATGACGTGAAAATGTTGTCACAGTGGTTCCTGGCTCAAATATCACGAGGACCTTGTTGACGCTTGTTCGAGTTGGCTAACTAATCAGCTACAAAAGCTTGTGCTATGGGTAGGGTGTTCTAAGCAGATTGCTAGGTCTACTTTCAACACTCCACTCATATTACTAGTGATTGTAGCCGATCTGTGGATCCGTCGTCAACAGGATGTTACTTAACGACATAAAAGAAACTCATGTACACACACAGGGAGTGAGGAAATGTTATCATCCTTAAAAACAACTACCTGAATTTTGTTACACGCTCATGGAACGTTTAGCCAGATGCCAAGCTACTGTTTCACAAACGCGTGCTGCTGTATTGTATTCTTCTAAGTAGTTTATTTGGGCAAACTCTTAGTATTAGCGTTACTGATTGTTTATTGATTATGTGTTGTGACTATTTCCTAGTGAACATTGTCGCGTTTTATCGATCTGATATTTCGCACATTTTCATGCCTCCCCTTATGTTATGCCCTCGAACAATTAGGCACAAGTCAAAGGCTACTGCATCTGAAGCTAAGGCCGATTTTGTCGATATGATATTTCACATATTTTCATGCCTCCTCTTATCTTATGCCCTCGAACAATTAGGCACAAGTCAAAAGCTACTACATCTGAAGCTAAGGGCGATTTCGTCGATCTGATATTTCACATATTTTCTTGCCTCCCCTTATGTTATGCCCTCGAACCATTAGGCACAAGTCAAACGCTACTGCATCTGAAGTTAAGGCCGATGAATTCGAGGCCGTGGGTCAATTAAGACCATGGCTGACGCATTCCACCAGAGGAGGAAAACGAAGGCTCTAGTGTAAATTGTTGTAAGTTCACATTAAGGAACCCAGAGTTGTCAAATTTAACCAGACCGAACACTCACCGGCCGTGTCTATAGAGTCACGCATAAGTCTATAGATTCACGCCGTGGACGTATGCTGCATTCTGCGGGTGGTGGTGGTGGTGTTGCAGCAGGTGGGGTTAGCCTGGCCTGCATGGCCGGCAATTGTTCCGCGTGAGCATCTCCAGAATTCGGAAATTGTCACCACGTGTCAGACAGCTCAGTGTCTCGCAGGAAGACCAACAAAATTCGTTGCACGTTCCTCCTAGTTGCCGCGTGTCCTTCAGGAAAGATGACGTCATCAACTGTCCGGTGCTTATGACAGCCTTTTCGCAAGGTGCGGATCATCGCTGCTCTTTGCACATCAAACTGTGGGCAAAGCAAAATGAAATGTTCAATATCTCCGATGTCACCGCAGAAGGCACAGAACGGGGAAGCGTATCTCCCAGTCTTGAATGACCAGGCCGGGGTGTATGCGGAGCCGATTCTTATGCGGTACAACAGCGTCGCTTGTTCCCGAGAAAGTCCATGAATTACACATGCTTGGTGTGGAAACTTGTAGATCGCCTTGAAATGATTGCGTATCACATGTTTGTTGTTCTGGTAAGTCTTTGGAGTTCCTACTTTTGGAACAGATGTCCATGCTTCGCACGCAAGGGCATCAGCCTTTTCATTGCCTTCAATGCCAACGTGGGATGGGATCCATTGAAACTTTAATTAAAATTCTTGCCATTTAGGTGCTTAATTAGTGGCTGCATTCTGCGTGATTCCTAATTAGAATTTGCACTTCGCATGCACAAAACACATTATTTAACTTTATAGTCTCCCAACATCGCTCTTTCTCGGTGATAAGACTTCGATATTCTGATCATTCTGCCTATGAAGCTCGCATGATGAAGACGAAAACAAAAGCCCTCCGCTAAAATGTGTCTGTATTAACAACGGTGTTTTAGAACCCACGCAGTCTCGTACAGCTCGCTGTATACGTGCGTGACATCGTGCGCGTATGTTACGTACGGCGTATTATTCTTTTTGCTATCGCTCGCACGCCGCGCGACTGGCTTTCGTAACCGCTGAAATGGAATCCTACGCACTGCATGCATAATCTGCCGCCAAGAAACCGTTAACTTGCAAGTAAGTTGCCGTAGAAGCCTAGCCTCACAACCATGATTTCACTGCAGTAGTTCAATGCACAATATAATTTGTAACTTTGCCGTTGTGGTGTGTATAACTTCTGACGAAAAAAAAAATATATCGACAAGTGCAGACCAACCGCACACAACACTGGGTCTGGTTATGTCTACAGTTGTGCGTGATCATCACAGGGTAAGGCACAAAGTCAAATAATGAAATCAAGATGCACGTGGAACATCAGCCAGAGCGGGGCTCATTTGAGCCCGTTCATGTGCACTTTTATTATAATAAGCTCCTCTTCCTCTACGAAATTAGAAACATCCTTCACGCCCCCCCCCCTCCCAATGTGGCCTCATGATGAACAATAACACAGTTGCTGTAAACACTAAACACACAATGTTCGTCACTAATGGTTTGAGGTCCAAGTCAATCCACGTGGAACAATCCGGGTTTGCTTTGCACCTGGCTTTACAACGGCGCTTCCGACGCTTGTTCCATATACGTGCCTTGAAAGGCGTCGCCTTCGGTGAACTTGTGCTCTCGATGATCAGGTTTCGTTGGCAGAAACATGGTTTCTTCTGCGAGCTTCTGGTGTAGCTTATTTTGAGAAGTTTTGCCTTTGAATTTCTTGCCCCGGCTGTGTTCATCTTGGATGCATCATCCTTCTTCCTCCATCCGGGATTTGATTGCTTCATTCGCCGTTTTGGCCCTGTCTCAATATACTTGATCGGTAGCGAGGTAGCTTTTACGGGTCGCATTCTTCTCCCCCTTGATGTTTGTAGCTTACTCGTAGGACTAATACAGGCAGCGGGCTCCTCTGCCCTCGCAGGTTTTACCTTGCTTCTATTCGCTTGAATGCATATTTATTTGCTTCTGCCAGAAATTTCTACGCGTGGCTGCGAGGACTGTGCAACATCTGAATCTGCTGGCCTTGGCTTGCACCGATTCTTCATATCCATTGAATGCCCGTTTAGAACTTCAAATGCTTCCCGCTTTTCATTAGTAGAACTTTGTCCCTCCACCGTATGCACTTGAGTTGTTGTAACTGTCGTGTCCTTTGCTTCATTCATAGTGTACGCTGGCGGGAGTTCTAACGGCATGGGCCAGTTCTTTGAAAGTAGCGGTTCTGTGCGTGCTCGAATGCTCGTTACAGTGGTGAAATCTGTGACTTTTCGGCTTCCAGCACGTTCAGCAATTCATCGCGAGTCTGAGTCTTCTAGCTTCCGTACAAGAAGACTGCTGCTGAAGAAGCAGAGGCAAGATGG